ACACTGGGTCATTGAAGAAATCAAAAGAGAAATCAGAAACTTTCTGGAAGTAAATGAAGACAACAACACAACATATCAAAACTTATGGGATACAGCAAAAGCAGTATTGAGAGGCAAATTTATAGCAATAGGTGCCTATATCAAGAAATTGGAAAGGTACCAAATAAATGAGCTTTCAGCGCATCTCAAGGACCTAGAAAAACTGCAGCAAACCAAACCCAAATCTAGTAGGAGAAGAGAAATAATTAAAACCAGAGAAGAAATTAACAGGATTGAATCCAAAAAAAAAAAAAAAAAAACACTACAAAAAATCATCCAAGCGAGAAGCTGGTTTTTTTTAAAAAATTAACAAAATTGACACCACATTGGCCCAACTAACTAAAAAAAGAAGAGAACAGGCCCAAATCAATAAAATCAGAGATGAAAAAGGAAACGTAACAATAGACACCACAGAAAAAAAAAAGAATCATCAGAAATTACTACAAGGACCTGTATGCCAGCAAACAGGAAAACCTATCAGAAATGGATAGATTCCTGGACACATGCAATCTACCAAAATTGAACCATGAAGACATAGAAAACCTAAATAGACCCATAAGTGAAACAGAAATTGAAACAGTAATTAAGGCCTTCCCAACAAAGAAAAGCCCAGGACCAGATGGATTCACTGCTGAATTCTACCAGACATTTAAAGAAGAACTAATCCCATTTCTTCTCAAACTATTCAGAACAATCGAAGAAGAGGGAATCCTCCCAAATTCTTTCTATGAAGCCAGCATCACCTTAACTCCTAAGCCAGAGAAAGATGCAGCACTGAAAGAAAATTACAGACCAATATCCCTAATGAACATAGACGCAAAAATCCTCAATAAAATTCTCGCCAATAGAGTACAACAACACATCAGGAAAATCATCCACCCAGACCAAGTGGGATTTATCCCTGGTATGCAGGGATGGTTCAACATTCGCAAATCAATCATGTGATATACCACATTAACAGACTGCAAAAGAAAAACCATATAATTATCTCAATTGATGCAGAGAAAGCATTTGATAAAATTCAACACCCTTTCATGATGAAAACTCCAAGCAAATTGGGTATAGAAGGAACATTCCTCAATATAATCAAAGCAATTTATGAAAAGCCCACAGCCAGCATCCTATTGAATGGGGAAAAGTTGGAAGCATTTCCACTGAGATCTGGCACCAGGCAGGGATGCCCACTCTCACCACTGCTATTTAACATAGTTCTGGAAGTTTTAGCCAGAGCCATCAGACAAGAAAAAGAAATCAAAGGAATACAAATCGAGAAGGAAGAAGTCAAACTATCCCTCTTTGCAGACAATATGATTCTGTACTTAGAGGATCCAAAGAACTCTACTAAGAGACTATTGGAACTCATAGAGGAGTTTGGCAAAGTGGCAGGATATAAAATCAATGCACAAAAATCAACAGCCTTTGTATACACAAGCAATGCCATGACTGAGAAAGAACTGCTAAGATCAATCCCATTCACAATAGCTACAAAAACAATCAAATACCCTGGAATAAACTTAACCAAGGACGTTAAAGATCTCTACGATGAGAATTACAAAACCTTAAAGAAAGAAATAGAAAAGGATACCAAAAAATGGAAAAACCTTCCATGCTCATGGATTGGAAGAATCAACATCATCAAAATGCCCATTCTCCCAAAAGCAATTTATAGATTCAATGCAATCCCAATCAAGATACCAAAGACATTCTTCTCAGATCTAGAAAAAATGATGCTGAAATTCATATGGAGGCACTAGAGACCTCGAATAGCTAAAGCAATCTTGTTTACAACAAAAACGAAGCTGGAGGCATCACAATACCAGATTTCAGGACATACTACAGGGCAGTTGTAATCAAAACAGCATGGTACTGGTACAGAAACAGATGGATAGACCAATGGAACAGAATTGAAACACAGAAATCAATCCAAACATCTACAGCCAACTCATATTTGACCAAGGATCTAAAACCAATTCCTGGAGCAAGGACAGTCTATTCAATAAATGGTGCTGGGAAAACTGGATTTCCACGTGCAGAAGCATGAAGCAAGACCCCTACCTTACACCTTACACAAAAATCCACTCAACGTGGATTAAAGACCTAAATCTACGTCCTGACACCATTAAGTTATTAGAGAACATTGGAGAAACCCTTCAAGATATTGGCACAGGCAAAGAATTTCTGGAAAAGACCCGGGAGGCACAGGCAGTCAAAGCCAAAATCCACTATTGGGATTGCATCAAATTGAGAAGTTTCTGTACTGCAAAAGAAACAGTCAGGAGAGTGAAGAGACAACCGACAGAATGGGAAAAAATATTTGCAAACTATGCAACAGATAAAGGGTTAATAACCAGAATCTACAAAGAGATCAAGAAACTCCACAAAAACAAAACCAACAACCCACTTAAGAGATGGGCCAAGGACCTCAATAGACATTTTTCAAAAGAGGAAATCCAAATGGCCAACAGGCACATGAAAAAATGTTCAAGGTCGCTAGCAATCAGGGAAATGCAAATCAAAACCACAATGAGGTTTCACCTCACCCCGGTTAGAATGGCTCACATTCAGAAATCTACCAACAACAGATGCTGGCGAGGATGTGGGGAAAAAGGGACACTAACCCACTGTTGGTGGGAATGCAAACTGGTCAAGCCACTATGGAAGTCTGTCTGGAGATTCCTCAGAAACCTGAATATAACCCTACCATTCATCCCAGCCATCCCACTCCTTGGAATGTACCCAAATGATTTTAAATTGACAAACAAAAAAGCGGTCTGCACCCTAATGTTTATTGCAGCACAATTCACAATAGCCAAGACCTGGAAACAACCTAAATGCCCATCAACGGTAGACTGGATAAAGAAATTATGGGAAATGTATTCTTTAGAATACTATACCACAGTAAGAAACAACGAAATCCAGTCATTTGCAACAAAATGGAGGAATCTGGAACACATCATGCTGAGTGAAATAAGCCAGTCCCAAAGGGACAAATATCATATGTTCTCCCTGATCGGTGACAACTGACTGAACACCAAAAAGGAAACCTGTTGAAGTGAAATGGACACTATGAAAAACAGTGACTTGATCAGCATAGCCTGACTGTTAATGAACAACTTAATACATTATCCCTCTTAGTATTTTTTTTTGTCTGTTCTACTTAATATGACTGGTTTAATTCTGTAATTAATACACAGTTATTCTTAAGTGTTGAAAATGAACTGAAATGTGATCCCTGTTAAACATAAGAGTGGGAATAAGAGAGGGAAAAGATGTATAATTTGGGACATGCTCAAGCTGACTTGCCCCAATTGGTAGAGTTAGAAACATACCAGGGGATTCCAATCCAATCCTATCAAGGTGGCATGTACCAATGCCATCTCACTAGTCCAAGTGATCAATTTCAGTTCACAATTGATCATAATGAAAGGACTAAGAGTCAAAGGGAGCACATAAACAAGTCTAGTATCTGCTAACACTAACCGATAGAATAAATAAAGGGGAGAGTGGATCATCGAAAATGAATCTTGATGTGAATGGAAGTCACTTTTAAACTTAATCATATATAATTATCTAGCCCAAGGGGATTTGGGATCCCATGGTGAAGTAAATCCAGCTGTGAAATTATGACTTAAGCTCTCATTTTGGCCATGCTGTTACACAGAATATGTTAGTCACTGCTTTCATAAGATCTAAAAATCAAACTACATCTTGAGGCATCCCTCAGGACAGAGTCAGTGTCCCATCTTAAAGAGAATAGAGAGGCCAGCGCTGCAGCTCAATCGGCTAATCCTCCACCTCGCGGTGCTGGCACACCGGGTTCTAGTCCCAGTCGGGGCACCGGATTCTGTCCCGATTGCCCCTCTTCCAAGCCAGCTCTCTGCTGTGGCCCGGGAGTGCAGTGGAGGATGGCTCAAGTGCTTGGGCCCTGCACCTGTGTGGGAGACCAGGAGAAGTACCTGGCTCCTGGCTTCAGAACAGTGTGGTGCGCTGGCCGCAGTGGCCATTGGAGGGTGAACCAACATTAAAGGAAGACCTTTCTCTCTGTCTCTCTCTAACTGTCCACTCTGCCTGTCAAAAAAAATTTATAGAAGGCATTGGACCTTCCAGTAAATATTTTATAAGCTATTATTTAATGGTTAAAACCACTTGCTAAGATTCCATTTGACATCGTCAGTGGGCATTCTGACAAGCCTGACTTGTTCCCACATTTCTCTATTCTCTCTTTTTTTATTTTTTTTTTTATTTTTTGACAGGCAGAGTGGACAGTGAGAGAGAGAGAGAGACAGAGAGAAAGGTCTTCCTTTTGCCATTGGTTCACCCTCCAATGGCCGCCGCGGCTGGTGCACCGCACTGATCCCATGGCAGGAGCTAGGTGCTTCTCTTGGGGTGCCAGCATCCCACATGGGTGTCAGTTCACAACTCGGCTGCTCCACTTCTGATCCAGCTCTTTGCTATGGCCTGGGAAAACAGTAGAAGATGGCCCAAGTCCTTTGGCCCCTGCTCCCTTGTGGGAGACCTGGAAGAAGCTCCTGGCTCATAACTTTGGATCTACACAGCTCCAGCCATTGCAGCCTTCTGGGGAGTGAATCTGTGGTTTTAAGCTCTCTTCCTCCCTCCCTCCCTCTCTCTCTCTTTTTCTCTGCCTCTCCTTCTCTCTTTGTGTAACTCTTTCAAATAAATAAATTTATTAACAAATTGTCTATTTCTATCACATTTACTGGTATCTCATGGGGTAAATCAAGTGAAATGGTGAAATTCAGGGTCTTTTTAAAAAAGATTTATTTATTTATTTGAAAGAGTTACACACAGAGAGGGAGAGGCAGAGAGAAAGAGAGAGAGCTCTTCCATCTGCTGGTTCACTTCCCAGTTGGTTGCAATGGCCAGAGTTGTGCCAATCCAAAGCCAGGGTCCAGGAGCTTCTTCTGGGTCTCCCACATGGGTATAGGAGCCCAAGGACTTGGGCCATCTTCTACTGCTTTCCCAGGCCATAGCAGAAAGCTGGATCAGAAGTGGAGCAGCTGGGAATCAATCCAGTGCCCATATGGGATGCCAGTCTGCAGGCAGCAGTTTTACCTGCTAGGCCACAGAGCCAGTCCCAATCCAGGGTTTTGGGAAAGGATGAATACAGGGAAAGGGTCTATTTAGAATCATTACTGGTAAAGTGCACTGCATTAAATATGTGTTTGTGTATTATGTCTATGTGTTAACTTTCTTTAGTATAAACTTTAATAACAACATAATGTTTATCTCTGACAACCTCATTTATTTGAACACTCTTAACATTCTTTTTACTTTTACACTATTATGTTACAAAATTTGTAGATAATGCTTTGGTTAAACCAATGATAACTTTTGTTTAATCTCTGCCACTTAATATAGGTGGGTGCATTTTCCTATGTATTTCCATTTTTACAGGTTTATTCCTCCACAGTGAAGCCGATGTTTTCTTGGTTAATGTATTTATTATTCTTTATTAATTCTATCATATTCTTTTTTTCCACTGTTCAGTGCAGAAGGAAACCAGAGGGTTTTTTTTTAATATTTCATTTATTTATTCAAAGAGTTGCAGAGAGAGAGAGAGAGAGAAAGTCTTCTATCTGCTGTATCACCCTCCAAATTACTGCAAAGGCCAGAGCTGAGCTGATCCAAAGCCAAGACCCAAGAGCTTCTGGGTATCCCATGCAGGTTCAGTGGCCCAAGGACTTGGACCATGTTCCACTGCTTTCTCCAGACATAGCAGAAAGCTAGATTGTACGTTGAGTAGGCAGGACTTGAGCCAGCAACCCTATGGAATGCTGGCACTGCAGGCAGCAGCTTTATCCGTTATGCCACAGTGTTGGCCTCCAGAGTTTTCTTTGAACTCCTGCCATTCACCTTCTCTCCCAGGTATGATTCTGGGTCCTCCACATGTTTCTAAGAGGAAAGAAAATTAATATATCACCTCTAAGTGAAGTGTTTTTTCTTTCATTATTCCCCAGCTTGTCAGTACTCATTTTAGGTGTTTAATGTTAGTTTATTTTTTTTTAGATTTTTTATTTATTTGAAAGTCAGAGTTACAGAGAGGCAGAGGGAGAGAGTCTTCCATCCGCTGGTTCACTCCACAGTTTGCCACAATGGCTGGAGTTGCACTGATGCAAAGCTAGAAGTGAAGAGCTTCTTCTAGGTCTCCCACATGGGTTCAGGAGGCCAAGGACTTAGGCCATCTTCTACTGAATTCCCAGGCCATAGCAGAGAGCTGGATTGGAAGTGAAGCCGCCGTGACTTAAAGTGGCACCAATATGGGATGCCAGCACTGAAGACAGTGGCTTTACCTGCTATGCCACAGTGCCGGTCCCATTATACTAGTTAATTAAAATGGAAAATATGGGGCCGGCTCTATGGCTCAGTGGGTTAACGCCCTGGTATAAAGCATTGGCATTCCATATGGGCACAGTTTGAGACCTGGCTGCTCTACTTCTGCTCCAGCTCTCTACTATGGCCTGGGAAAGCAGTGCAAGATGGCCCAGGTCCTTGGGCCCCTTCACACATGTGGGAGACCCAGAACTCCTGGTTACTGGCTTCAGATTGGTGCAGTTCCAGCCATTGCAGCCAATTGGTGACTGAACCAGCAAATGGAAGACCTCTCTCTCTGTCTCTGCCTCTCCTCTCTCTGTGTAACTCTGACTTTCAAATAAATAAATAAATCTTTAAAATTTTTAAAATAGAAAAATAAACATAAAATCTGTTCTCATGGAATACACAGAAATGAATTATGAATTTGGCATGATTATGAAACATTACTGTCATCTATAATAATGCAGTTTGGTCTCTTGTCTTTCTGTTGCTATAGCAAAATCTGTATTTGTTACATGAATTGAGTTGAAACTAAGTACAATATGCTACATTTTGGGGGTCATGTTGTCTGAAACACTCTACACATAGATGATGTACTGAGTAGTGTTTTAGTGTTACCTATGAAGTAAACACTTATCATTCTGCAAGAGGAAGAGTTTCCTAGTGCTAAAACACAAATCAGTTGTTTGTTTTTGAATTGTTAGAGTAATAGAGTCCTTAATACCTTTGAGAAGCTGAATTGGATTCTGGAATAGGATAAGGAATGTGTGGAGAAAAGAATCTACTGGAGGCTCATTTATTTTTTTAAGATTATTTATTTGAAAGGCAGACTTACAGAGATTGGGCGAGACAGGGAGACAAAAGGAGATATCTTCTACCTACTGTTTCATTCCCCAAATGCCCACAATGGCTGGGACCGGGCCAGGCCAAAGCCAGAAGCCTGAAACTCCATGGGCCTCCCAAATTGATGGAAGGGTCCAAATACTCAGGCCATTTTCACTGCTCTTTCAGTCAGATTAGCATGGAACTGGATTGGAAGTAGAGCAGCCAGGACTCAAATCCTCTGTTTACATGGATGCCAGCATTGATGGTGGAGGCTTAGCCTGCTGGATCAAAATTCTGGTGACTATTGCAGGTTCTTAAACAAATCTCTAAGCATTTTTCTCAGTGAGTCACAAATGCAGATTGTACTGCAGACATTCCCAGATTCTCTTTTTTGGGCAAATAATTCCATTGCTTTCACTTTAATTATGTATAATGTTATTTCAAATGTTTATCATTTGAATGTTTTGGGCAAGTATTTCCATTGCTTTCACTTTAATTAGGTATAATGTTGTTTCAATTGTTTATCAGTAGAATAATCATAGACAAGGGCAAAAGCTAATTTGTATTCTTTGTCTTACCTGTATTTTCTCTCTTACTTAAAAATATTTATTAGCTTGATAGAGAAAAATGTTAATGGACTGAGAGATAGAGAGCTTTGACACATTAATTCACTTCCTAGATAACCATACCAAACAGAGTTGGGACTGAAGCCAGAATTGAGTAATGGAATCTAGGCCTCCTTCATTGGTGACATCACCACTGCTTCTCCAGGTCTGCATTATCTGGGAGCTAAAAACTAGAGCTGGCATTGAAAATCAAACATAGACACTCTGAGGTGGCATCATAAACACTAAGCTAAATGTCTGCCCTGTCTTTTAATATATTTTTCTCTGACATATTGGAAATGATATGCATGGTGTTTTCCTGGAAATTATTTTCTGGTCATTCCCATCATAGTTTCACTGATGGTTTCTTGCCTTTTTTTTCTCAATGCTTCTACATACTTCTCCTTAACATTGCCTATTCAAGAGTCAATATTGCCCCTCTTTTAGCCTGCTGTGCAATTCCTCTTGACAGATGTGGCCTTTGTGATTTGAACCTCCTGTTTCCCTCCAGCTTGGGCATTTCTCACAGCCTGTAGATCATGGGTTTGACTCTGTTGAATGCTCTGTGTGGCTTTCTAAACACTCAACAAGTCTAATGTGAAACCATATCCTTCTTTTTTCCTTCATATCCACACAACTGTCAGTGTTTATTTTGTGACAGAGTTAATATGTTGACTGGAAGTGTAATATTATAGGTGATGATAGCATTTGAAGACCTTGCTGTGTACTTTACATGGGAGGAATGGAAGAAAATGAACAATGCTCAGAAAATCCTGTACAGAGATGTGATGCTGGAGACCTACAGCAGCCTGTTCTCCTTGGGTGAGTGACACACATCACATGCCCAGCGATAACATTTTATTACTATTTGACAAATAAGGGAACACTTTATATAATGTTTAATATTGGGCAGGTATAGAATTTGAGTCCATGAATAATCTGAATATCTACCATCTTACAAAAGATTCAAATTGGAACATTTGTTTCATAGCTCCTGGGCCAAGCTGTGGTCCTTTAAATAACCCAAGATAGTGATTTCATAGTGTTATATTGTTTCCATTAATAGGACACTGTACTACCAAACCTGACTTGATCTTCAAGTTGGAGCGAGGAGCAGAGCCATGGATGGTGGAAGAATGCCTGAATCAGAGCCTTTCAGGTCAGTCTGCACATAAGAGACAGGGAGGCCAAGGCAGAAAGTGTGCAGATGTTGACTGGTGTTCTTTCCATGAATTTTTCTCAAGCCTTACTCCTGATGACAACTGGTTTTGTGCATCAGACACAGGCATTTAGAGATACCAGTATCTTTCTAACTTTTGTTCTTAGTGAAGATGTTCTTTGATTAAAAAAAAATCCAGTCATTTTCTGATGTTACTAAGGCTTTTATCTAGGTTTGATACATTCCCCCAGTTCTAACTTGTCCTTCTCTACACTTTCATACCTTTTATTTCATGCACTTATTAGTTCCTTCAGTGCTTGTTAATTAGGCAACATACAGAAACGTTTTTAAGAGTAATGTTTCTGTTATTTTAAAGATTTATTTATTTATTTGAAAGAGAGAGAGAAGAAGGAGAGGCAGAGAGAGAGAGAGAGAGAGAGAGAGAGAGAGAGAGAGAGAGGTCTTCCATCCACTGGTTCATTTCCCAATTGGCTGTCATGGCTGGAGCTTCACTGATCTGAAGCCCAGAGCCAGGAGCTTCTTCCAGGTCTCCTACATGGGTACAGGGGTCCAAGGACTTGGGCCATTTTCTACAGCTTTGCCAGGCAATAGCAGAGTGCTGGATCAGAAGTGGAGCAGCTAGGACTTAAACTGGTGCCCATAAGTGATGTTGGCACTGCAGGTGGTGGCTTTATCTGCTATGCCACAATGCTGGCCCCTGGAAACTTATTCTAACACATTGCTCATATTGAGTTCCCACTCATGATTTTGCCCAGGCATAGAACTTGCTCAGGACTGAATCAACAAATGTGAACTCTCTCTTTCTTAGTTTCTTTCTTTTTTTTTTCCTCTGTGCCTCTCAAATAAATAAAAAAAAATTATAGTCTGTTGGAAACATTTGAGGAGTGAGCCTATAGCTGGCAACTCTGTTTCAGTCTGTCTTTTTTTTAATTGCCAAATTTATTTAATAAAAACACTCTTATATTGTGATGGTTTCCTGGATCCAATGAATAAAAGAGCACACTATATGAAATGCAGTTAAAAGTTAAAAGTTAAAAGAATTTTATAATAACATCAAGATATTATTTAGTTATACCACCTTTAGTTTTAGAATTCTAAGAGAATAAAATCTATAGCCATGAATATTAGAAGTCACATATTGGTATATAAATAATATTTTATAAAAATTACCTGATGATCATCTTGAAAACTAAAACATGTAGTTTCGAACCGTCTTTTCATTTTGCCTATTTATGTACATTTAAATTAGATTTTTTAAAACTTTTATTAAATGAATATAGATTTCCAAAATACAGCTTATGGATTACATTGGCTTCCCCCACTCCCCAGTGACTTCCCTCCCATCCACAACCCTCCCCTTTCCCAATCTCTCTCCCCTCCTATTCATATCAAGATTCATTTTCAATTTTCTATATATACAGAAGATCAGTTTAGTATACATTAAGTAAAGATTTCAACAGTTTGCACCCCCATAGAAACACAAAGTGAAATACACTGTTTGAGTACTCGTTATAGCATTAGATCTCAATGCACAGCACATTAAGGACAGAGATCCTACATGAGGAGTAAGTGCACAGTGACTCCTGTTGTTGACTTTACCAATTGACACTCCTGTTTATGGCATCAGTAATCTCCCTATGCTCCAGTCATGAGTTTCCAAGGCTATGGAAGCCTTTTGAGTTCTCTGACTCTTATCTTATTTAGACAAGGTCATAGTCAAAGTGGAGGTTCTCTCCTCCCTTCAGAGAAAGGTACCTCCTTCTTTGAAGACCTGTTCTTTCCACTGAGATCTCACTCACAGAGATCTTTCATTTAGGTGTTTTTTTTTTTTTTGTCTTTTTTTTTTCCCAGAGTGTCTTGGCTTTCCATGCCTGAAATACTCTCATGGGCTTTTCAGCCAGATCCGAATGCCTTTAGGGCTGATTCTGAGGCCAGAGTGCTGTTTAGGACATCTGCCATTCTATGAGTCTGCTGTGTATCTCGCTTCCCATGTTGGATCGCACTCCCCTTTATTTATGCTATCAGTTACTATTAGCAGGTACTAGACTTGTTTATGTGATCCCTTTGACTCTTACTCCTTTCATTATGATCGATTGTGAACTGAAATTGATCACTGGGACTAGTGAGATGGCATTGGTACATGCCACCTTGATGGGATTGGACTGGAATTCCCTGGTATGTTTCTAACTCTACCATTTGGGGCATGTCCAATTAAGCATGTCCCAAATTGTACATCTCTTCCCTCTCTTATTCCCACTCTTATATTTAATGGGGATCACATTTCAGTTAAATTTCAACACTTAAGAATAACTGTGTATTAATTACAGAATTAAACCAGTCATATTAAGTAGAACAGACAAAAAAAATACTAAGAGGGATAATGTATTAAGTTGTTCATTAACAGTCAGGGCTATGCTGATCAAGTCACTGTTTTTCATAGTGTCCATTTCACTTCAACAGGTTTCCTTTTTGGTATTCAGTCAGTTGTCACCGATCAGGGAGAACATATGGTATTTGTCCCTTTGGGACTGGCTTATTTCACTCAGCATGATGTGTTCCAGATTCCTCCATTTTGTTGCAAATGACTGGATTTCATTGTTTTTTACTGTGGTATAGTATTCTAAAGTGTACATATCCCATAATTTCTTTATCCAGTCTACCGTTGATGGGCATTTAGGTTGTTTCCAGGTCTTGGCTATTGTGAATTGTGCTGCAATAAACATTAGGGTGCAGACCGCTTTTTTGTTTGTCAATTTAAACTCATTTGGGTACATTCCAAGGAGTGGGATGGCTGGGTCGAATGGTAGGGTTATCTTCAGGTTTCTGAGGAATCTCCAGACTGTCAGTCTGTCTTTATCTCTGATTCTGTCTCTCTGACTCTCAAGTTAGTAAATAAGTAAATGCTAAAAGATGGTCATGTGGCCTGCACTGTGGAGCAATGTATTAACATGCTAGCCTGAAGTGCCAGCATCCCATATGGGCACCAGTTCAAGACCCAGTTGCTCCACTTCCAATCCAGCTCTCTGCTATGGCCTGGGAAAGCAGTAGAAGATGGTCTAAGTCCTTGGACCCCTGAACCTGAGGGAGACCCAGAAGAAGCTCCTGGTTCCTGGCTTCAGATTGGTGCAGTTCCAGCCATTGCAGCCAACTGGGTACTGAACCAGTAGATGGAAGACCTCTCTCTCTTTGCCTCTCCTCTCTCTGTGTAACTCTGACTTTCAAATAAATAAATAAATCAAAAAAAGATGGTCATGTGTAAGCCTCTGTGCTGTGACATCAGAAATTATGAAGCTAGGAATGACACTGTGGTGCAGTGTGTTAAAGCTCTAGCCTGCAGCACTAGCATTGCATATGGGTGCCAGCTCAAGTCCCAGTTGGTCCTCTTCTAATCCAGCTCTCTGCTAATGCACCTGAGAAAGGAGCAGAGGTTGACCCAAGTCCTTGGCCCCCTGTACCCATGTGGGAGACAAGAAAGAAACTCCTGGCTCCTAACTTCATCTTGGCCCATTATTGGTTGTTGTGCCCATACAGGGAGTGAACCAGCAGATGGAAGACTTCTCTCTCTCTCGATCTCTCTCTCTCTCTCTCTCTAATTCTAGCTTTCAAATAAATAAAGCAAATCTTTGAAAAAAGAAATCATAAACTAAGCATGAACTTATATAAAACATGAAAATAAGTGATCCTAGACTCACCACGAAAGTAATGAGATTTTGAGACCCAAGGTCAAGTAGCCTCATGGGTTTATGTTGAGTGGCTCAGATTTCTTTAAGGGTGGAGTTTGAAGTATGATTTCTCTCTTATTTTTCAGTGTCATTGAAGAATAAGCAAATAAAATGATAAGAAAAACATAGGAAATGAAGCTTTCAGGGAAAATAAGAGGCAACTGAGCAAAAGCCTCCAGAAATTCAAATTATCACACAGGAATGTTTATAGAAAGAATTGAGAGGAGGTAACCAGCACTGATGATTTCAGAATGAGCTAGAAAACACTTTTCAAAGAAGATGAGCACATCCCAGTTTGCAGAAACAAATTCTTCAAACTGATTGGAAGTGTTTTGGTGTATTGGGACTTTTCTATACCTGTTGTACTTCTGAGAAACTGAAGGTGTTGGGTGTCCTTAGCAATTTGAGGAAGCTGTCATAGAGTAGAGACAAAGTAGTTTTTCATTTGAAAAATCCCACAAATGATGTTTACCATGGAAGACTGAACATGAGACAATCATAGATTCAAATCATACTCCTTAAATATTGTCCTGCTTAAAGTATAGGCACACTTCACTCTTCTCCACCTGAAAGTAAATGATCAGTAAAACTTTTTCATGTTTATGGTTGAAATATCAGAGAAGCAAAAAAATACAACTTTTATAAAAATAAACTGGAGAAAAAAGACAGGGAAAAATGTTTGCTAGGTAGTGAAAGAATATTATTATTAAATATTTGTCCATTCTTTAAAATATTTTATAGTTATTTCATCTTTGTGAAAGGCAGAGTGATAGTGAGAGGAGAAAGAGGGAGACAGAGGTCCTATATTAGCTCACTTCCCAGATGCCTCCAATACTTAGGTATAACTAGTCTTAAGGCAAAACTCTAAAATTCATCTAGTCTTCCCTGGTGTCTCACAGGTTCCTAGGCACATGACATTATCTGCTTCCTTCTGGTTTACATAGGCAGAGAGCTGTACTGAAAGCAGAGTAACCAGGGCTCAAACTGACACTGTTTTGAGATGCAGGCATCCCACACATCATAGCACAAATGTCATTCTACCATCCTTGACAGATTACCATAGTAAAAAGGATCATGTTTGAACATTGGGAAACCTCATGGTATATTAATGTATTAAGGAGAAAAACCATATAATGGTTATAAATAAGTACCTCATACTGATTTTGTGAAAATCTTATGCCACTTGGATAACAAGTAACTTCATTCCCTTTACATGAGTATGCCAGGAGAGACAGTTACATGTGATTCAGTGACATGATTGCTTTTTTCTCATTTCAGTGGTCATGAAAAGAGATGAACTGATTAGGATCAACCAGGAAAGACAAAAATCTGAATCAGGATTTTATGAAAAATAACAAGACATCAGCTCTCAAGAGAGTTGAATTATGAAAAACACTTAGTTTAAATTCAAGCCATATTCCAACACTTATTATTGAAAAGGGAACATATTCAGGATTGAAGCCTGAGGAATGCAATAAATGTCACACTGTGTATCCCCCCAGTGGGCCTGATCAACTACAGGCTGGAAAGAAATTTGATAACACTAAGATACCTGGAAAATCTCTCCAGTTCTGTGACCTCTTAGCGTGACAATATTCACATCATGAAGCAGCCATTTGGACCCACTGGACAAGCAAAAGTCTTCACAAGAAAGATGTTCTGTAAATCTGAGGGGGCTCATATGGCAGAAAACTGTAATAAGTCAACTGTCACTTTTGGAAAAGCAATTCAAATAGAAAAGGCTATCCATGAAAATTCTAGCCTCAATATGCATCAACAAATGCACACAAGAAAGAAATTTTATAAGTACATTAGGTATGTTGAATCTGTCATTCACCAGTCACATCTTGCAATAAATGAGAGACTAAATAAAAGGGGAAAACTCTACACATGTAAACCTTGTGGAAAATCACTCAGTTTTAATTCACCTTATGAATGTAATGACTGTGCAAAAGCCTTTGGACACAAGTCAGACCTCCTCATACACCAGAGAATTCACACAGGGGAGAAACCTCATAAATGTAATGACTGTGGAAAAGCCTTTGGACACAAGTCAGACCTCATCATACATCAGCAAATTCACACAGGAAAGAAACCTCATAAATGTAATGTCTGTGGAAAAGCCTTTGGACACAAGTCAGACCTCCTCATACACCAGAGAATTCACACAGGAGAGAAACCTCATAAACGTAATGTCTGTGGAAAAGCCTTTGGACAAAAGTCATGCCTCTTAGTACACCAGAGAATTCACACAGGGGAGAGACCCTATGAATGCAATGACTTTAGAAAAGCCTTTGGACAAAAGTCAAACCTAGTAATGCACCAGAGAATTCACACAGGGGAGAAACCTCATAAATGTAATGACTGTGGAAAAGCCTTTACACAAAAGTCACACCTCATCGTACACCAGAGAATTCACACAGGGGAGAAATCTCATAAATGTAATGACTGTGGAAAGCCTTTGGACAAAAGTCATGCCTCATATTACACCAGAGAATTCACACAGGGGAGATACCCTATGAATGTAATGACTGTGCAAGAGCCTTTGGACACAAGTCAGACCTCCTCATACACCAGAGAATTCACACAGGGGAGAAACATCATAAATGTAATGACTGTGGAAAAGCTTTGGACACAAGTCAGACCTCATGAAACATCAGCAAATTCACACAGGGGAGAGACCCTATGAATGTAATGACTGTGGAAAAACTTTTGGACTAAAGTCATGCCTCATAATACACCAGAAAATTCACACAGGGAGAAACCTCATGAATGAATAACTGTGGAAAAGCCTTTACACAAAAGTCACACCTCATTGTACACCAGAGAATTCACATGGGGCAGAAACCTCATAAATGTAATGACTGTGGAAAAGCCTTTGGACAAAAGTCAGATCTCACCATACACCAGTGAATTCACACAAGGGAGAAACCTCATAAATGTAATGACTGTGGAAAAGCCTTTGGACGAAAGTCACACCTCATCGTACACCAGAGAAATCACACAGGAGATAAACCTCTTAAGTGTAATGACTGTGGAAAAGCCTTTGGACACAAGTCATGCCTCATATTACACCAGAGAATTCACATGCGGCAGAAACCTCATGAATGTAATGACTGGAGAAAGGCCTTTGTATAAAAGTCACACCTCATATTACACTGGAGAATTCACACAGGGGAGAAACCCCATGAATGCAATGACTTTGGAAAAGCCTTTGGACAAAAGACAAACGTCTTATCACTGCAGAAAATTCACACAGGGTAGAAAACTCATGATTGTAATAACTGTGGAAAGCATTTAGCCATAAGTCAACCTTCATTGTGCATCAGAGAATTCACACAGGGCAGAAACCTTATGAATGTAATGATTGGAAAGCCTTTGGACAAAAGTCAAACCTCATAATGCTCCAGAGAATGCACACAGTGTTGAAACTTTATGAGTGTAATGATTGTGGAAAAACTTTTGATTTTAAGTTCCAACTCGAAATGCATCATAGGATTCACACAGGGAAATAACATTATAAATGTAATGACTGTGGAAAAGTCTTTTTCTATAAGTTATACCTCATATCAAAACAAAATTCACACATGGCAGAAACCTTATGAATCTAATGAGTGTGGAAAAGCCTTTATAAATCATATGTTATAACTCATAGCTCATATCACACCAGAGAATTCACACCAGGGAGAAACTTCATGAATGCAATAACTATAGAAAAGCCCTTGGCAACAAGTCATATCTCAGAATGCATCAGAAAATTCACATGAAGAGAAACATTTTGGACATAATGACTTGGAAAGCTTTTTCCCATAATTCAGCCCTCATTGCACATCATCTAATTCGGGGGAAAACACTTTGGATATAGTTCATATGGAAAAGCATTTATCATAAGTAACACCTCATAAAACATCAGAATTCACATGGGGGAGAAACTTTATGAATGGAATGAGTGTTGGAAAACTCTGCCAAAATCACACAATATAACACCAGAGAATTTGTTACATGGTGGAAATCTTGTAATAAATGTGGGAAAGCCTTTTGTCAAAAGGCTCATAACACATGTAGTTCAAACAAGGGAGAGAATTTAAGAATATAATGAATGTGAAGGACTTTTTCCAAAATCAACATAACCATGTGACAGAGCCTTTTGCTGGAAATTACATCCCATACAGTAGGCACTCCCATAAGGAAGAAAGGTTGGGACCAGCACTGTGGCACAGTAGGTTAAAGCCCTGGCCTGATGCGCCGGCATACCATGTGGGCACCGGTTCTAGTCTTGGCTGCTCCTCTTCTGATACAGCTCTCTGCTATGGATTGGGAAAGCAGTAGAAGATGGCCCTGCACCCACGTGGAAGACCCAGAAGAAGCTCCTAACTCCTGGCTTTGGATCATTGTAGCTCCAGCCATTGCATTCATCTGGGGAGTGAACCAGTGGATGGAAGACCTCTTTCTGCTTCTCTGTCTCTCTGTAACTCTGTGTTTAAAATAAATAAAGTAAATAATTAAAAAAAGAAAAAGTTCAGAAATATTATTAGTGTGACAAAAAGCCATTTGTCAGAAATTGATCATTACACATCAGAGAATTCGCACAAGGGGTTTCTTAGGAGTGTAATGAATGTGGAAGTATATTTTCATGGAATTCAGGCTTGCATAAATATGCAGCTCAAAAAAGGTGATATCCTTCAAGTGCAGAAGATCTGAAAAAGCCATAGCCAGAAATTAAACATCAGGCTGACACTGTGGAGCAGTAGGTTAATCCTCCACCTGTGATGCTGGCATCCCTTATGGGTGCCAGTTCTATCCCCAGGTGGCCCTCTTCCAATCCAGCTCTCTACTATGGCCTAGGAAAACAGTAGAAGACAGCCCATGTGCTTGGGACCCTGCACCCACATGGCAGACAAGGAAGAAGCACCTGGCTCCTGCCTTCAGATCAGTGCATCTCTGGCAATTGCGGCCATTTGAGGAGTGAACCAACAGAAGGAAGACCTTTCTCTCTGTCTCTCTTATTGTAACTCTAGGTTTCAAATGAATAAATAAAAATCTCATAGTGACTTGATCAGCTCTTGTCCTGACGATTGATGTACAATGTAATACTTTATCCATTTTAGCATTTTTTTTTGTTCTAGTACCATTGGTTGAACTCTGTAATTAACACACAATTATTCTTAGGTGTTTAAATTTTAACTGAAAAGTGATCACTGTTAGGAATTTGGAAAACATTATGTTGAGTGAAATAAGCCAATCCCAAAGGGACAAATACCTACTTGTTCTCCTTCATAGGTGACAACTAACTGAGCACCAAAAAGGAAACCTATTAAAGTGAAATGAACACTATGAGAAACAGTGACTTGATCAGCCTTCACCCTGACTGTTGATGAGCAACTTAATATGTTATCCCTCTTAGTATTTTTTTGTTTGTTCTACTTAATACTTTTGGTTGAATACTGTAATCAATACACAATTCTTAAGTGCTGAAACTTAAGTGAAAAGTGATCACTGTTAAATATAAGAGTGGGAATAAGAGAGGGAAGAGATGTGCAATTCGGGACATGCTCAAGCTGACTTACCTCAAACGGTAGAGTTAAAAACATACCAGGGGATTCCAATTCAATCCCATCAAGGTGGCATGTACCAATGCCATCTCACTAATCCCAGTGATCAATTTCTGTTCACAGTTGATCATAATGATAGGACTAAGAACCAAATGGATCACAGAAACAAGAATAGTGTCTGCAAATACTAGCTGATAGAATCAAAAAGGGAGAGAACGATCCAACATGGGAAGTGAGATACACAGCAGACCCATAGAATGGCAGATGTCCTAAACAGCACTCTGGCCTCAGAATCAGCCCTAAAGGCATTCAGATCCGGCTGAAAAGTCCATGAGAGTATTTCAGGCTTGGAAAACCAAGAAACTCCGGAAAAAAAAAAAAACTAAATGAAAGCTCTCCGTGAGTGAGATCCCAGTAGAAAGAACAGGTCATCAAAGAAGGAGGTACCTTTCTCTGAAGGGAGTAGAGAACTTCCACTTTGACCATGGCCTTGTCTAAATATGATCAGAGTCAGTGAACTCAGGGGGCTTCCATAGCCTTGGCAGCTCATGACAAGAGCCTAGGGTGATTACTGATGCCATAAACAAGAGTGTCAATTTGTTAAGTCAACAACAGGAGTCACTGTGCACTTACTCCTCATGTAGAATTTCTGTCCTTAGTGTGCTGTACATTGAGATTTAATGCTATAACTAGTACTCAAACAGTATTTTTCACTTTATGTTTCTGTGTGGGAGCAAACTGTTGAAATCTTTACTTAATGTATGCTAAACTGATCTTATGTATATAAGATATAATATATAAAGAGAAACAAAAATGAATCTTGATGTGAATGGAAGGGGAGAGGGAGTGGGAAAGGGGAGGGTTGCGGGTGGAAGGGACGTCATGGGGGGGATGCCATTGTAATCCATAAGCTGTACTTTGGAAATTTATATTCATTAAATAAAAGTTTAAAAATAAATAAATAAATAAATAAAAATCTTAAAAAAAAAACAAGAAATTAAACATCAACAAACACCACAGAATTCATACAGTAAACTGTCAATTTAATGCATGTGA